AGAGAGAGAGAGATAGAGAGAGAGAATGAAGTTCTTGTTCCAATGTCCATGTTGTTCTTGTTTTTGCTTCATGAAGCCCCAAAAAGGTAAACCAAAAGCCAAAGAAGAACCCAAACTTAAAGCCAAAGTTGAAGAACCAAAACCTAAAGACAAGAAGGTGGAAGAAGCAAAACCAAAAGAGAAGGAAGAAAGCAAGCCACAATGAAAGAAGAGGAAATGGGATAATGCAACTATATATTATGCTCATACAAGTAATATTGTTCTTCATTTACTTAAATTTACTTCTAGTTTGAAATATATATTGTGTGCAATTGCAATCTTACTCTTTTGAGAAAAGCCTCATCCTAAATGTATTCTTATTACAAAATATTTGCACTTTATTCACTATGATATGCAAACCTAGTCTTCATTATTAACTATGTTGCTTAGATCCTTTGAATATATCATCACACTCATATCAAATTCTAAAAAAATGTATAACTTTTAAAGGATTTGATGTACATTCAAAAGAAATTTTGAAGGATATGAAAAACATAATGATTGGTTAAATTTCTCTGAATTAATTTCTCAAATATTTATCGAACTTGGAGTTTTTTCTATATAAAAAAAACTATTTTTTTGTCGGTGTAAAGTGACTCAACTTAAAAATATTCTCAGAAAATAACTTGACCCAGAAAAACCACATAAGCAAGCCAAAATACCATGTTTGTACATACGAGTGATTATTATTTTTATACAAATCAAGGCGATAAAAGGCACGCATTAATATTTAGATAAATTAAATTAATTTATTTATATAATTAAATTAATTTAGATCAATTTCAATTAGTTTTTTTTTTTTTTTTTGGATATTACTCTACACTAAATCCTAGTTCATGCCTATTTAAAGGTAATATATTCCCTTGAAAAAGGCAGGTATTTAGAATATTTTATAATTTTTGGGTATTCACAAAGAGAGCAGGAAGATATCAAATATTGTCTTTCATCAAGGAAATCTTGAATATCCCATAAACTTTGGGAATATTCATAAAGATCATTTCAAGATGTGGTCGAACTCTTCTTGACAATCAAATAATTCAAGAAGACCCACAAAATCCTTTCATGGAGATCAAATATTAAGATATGGTCGAATTCTTCTTGACAATCAAATACTTCAAGAAGATCCACCTTGCATCGAGATCTAATAAATCTCAAGGAGATCCAAATTATCCTAATTTGAGAAATACACTATTAAAGCCCTCGATTCACGGAGAAAATTCAAATAGGAGAATCAAGGGAACAAATAGAGTTGTAATCATATTGTTTTATCAATAAAACTATGTTTCTTGATATTTCATTTGCAATTGCAATTTATTTCTATCACTTTAAAATTAGTTGCAACCAATAATCTTTCCATATAACGAACTATCTCCTCGCATTTTGAATATGAGTCTTTTTTAGCAATCATTTTAGTAATTAGTACTTACAATTAGTTTTTGTTTCAAATTAAGAGTTATTTTAGCAACAAAAAAGAAACTCAAAATAATTATCACCAAATATCAAAGATAAAAATTAGTATGTTTTTCTTACTATACTTTTGTGCTTTATCTTTTTAACGGTGCTCAATTTTCAGAAAATATTTATTAGATAGAAATAATTTAGTAACTTATATATTATATTTATTAATTTTTTGATAAACATAATTGTTTTGAGAATAATATTTTGGGACGGAGAAGGCATTGAAGAAAACAGGAGAATAATCACATTTCGATTGTTGTGAACAACGTTGTGGACTGTGATAAACAAACCAATCTGAAAAATTCAAAGCCCAATTTTTGGTGGGTCTTCTAAAATAAATTTGAGTTCACCACTCAAGTCCAAAATAAAAAATCTCAAAAGCCCAATTTATGAAATTTTTATATATATAAAGTAATATAAGTGAAATATGGGAAAGAAGAATATAAAATAAAAGTATGATAACTAAATGAATAATGCAAGAAGATAAATGTATATGTAATAAATAAATTAGGCGGGAGAGCAGATCATGCGTTAAATAAAGCAAATAATTAATTAAAGATAGGTGCTAGTACCAACCATATGAAATAAAGGCAATAAAAAGATAAATTAGTAAAGAAAAAAATAGTGTAAAAATTAAAATTTGATGTTATTATCAAATCAACTTTAAAGACTACAAAGAGGAGAGCAAACTCTCACCAAAACTTCTTATGAGAGAGAGAACGTTGTTTGAAAGAAAAATAATGTGTCTTATTATAAAATAGAAAGGAAGGCTATTTATAACCAAAAATTATTACAATAAGTTATAGTAATGCTACAATATTACCCACAATAATTTTAGTCCATATTTGTTATTGTATCATATGACATCCTTGTGATATCGAATTAGCTTAAAATTTACATCTTCTTTTATCTTCATACTTCGATTTCTTCGACTCCTATGAATGATTGTTAGAGAATTCAACTTTGATTTGTTGGAGAATTTTTTCGATTATTGGATGAAATCTCTTTTGCTAATCGAGCTAGCTAGTTGTGCAATTACAATTGATTTGTCACATAAGCTTTCGATGGATTCTAACTCTTGTACCATTTGTAATGACATTGGAGAGATAATCTACAAACTTTTGAAAATATATCCATGAAATATGATATCTATGTAGATGAATCATTCTTGTTCACAATTGAGATTTGTACATATATACCAAATAAAACAACAATATCTAAGATGATAATTTGTTGACTATTAAGATTATACTAATATGTTATCATTGTTCGAAACTTAATCTGCACATGTTAGTTAAGTAATAGCCTTTTAGGGTATTTAATTGATCAAACTTAATTTATTCGAGATGTTGAATATAGTTGAACTTAGTTTTCTATCATATTCAATTCGAAACTTAAAAATCGATTATACATGCCGTTGATTGTTTGTTCTTTATGGGACGAGTTTTAGACACGATTAGTTGACAACTTTTTAAATTTCAAATTTCATATAAAATATTTAAAATAATGTATATATATATATATATATATATATATTTATAAATACCCATAGCACTATTTTTTTGATAATATATGTGGATAACTTTTCTCCAAGTAGATATTCTATCCATTTGATTCCAAACATACTCCAGAACATTGCAATTGGTACACACCTTATTGGTCCTCACAGTTTCCCAAATTGTTTTTCTTATCCTACCTTCACTTTTCATTATTATTGGGATAATGCAAAAAAAAAAAAAAAAACATTAAATAAGTTTACTGAGTAAATAATATCAAAAAAAATAATTTAGATGTGCGACTAATAATTTTACTATTATTTTGGAGTATCTCTATATCTTATCCCTTTATTTATTTTACTCTTCGTTTAGTTTTATCGCTTAATCTAATTACACATGAACTTCAAAAAATGAAGAAAATAATTTAGGATTTATAATTTTAAATATTTCATGAGATTATTATGATCATAAAAGTATTTAAATTATTTTAAATATAAAAATGTAATTCTTTTTAAAATAGAGTAATAAGAATATAATGTAATATAAAATAGATTAATAGAATAAGATCTTTTGCCTTACTTAGCTTCAAATTTTAATTTATATGACATAATTTGAATCAATAAAAAATTGAAAGTTTTATTTAAAATCTGTAGGTTTAAAATATCAACATTTATGTGATGATAAAATATTTCATTAAGAGCCAGATAAGTATAAAGTTAATAGAATTCCTTAATATTGTTAACACAAAATATTTTCTTTATTTTAACACAAATTTAATTATTTGCCCTATTTCAATTTATGTGAGCATTTTTTTTTTTGGAAAATTGTATATAATAGCAAATTATTAATTCAAATTAAATGCTATAAATATACTTTGATTTAATTGTACCCTATAGCAAACTATTGCTATTTTCGCCACTCTCGTTTGGTGGCAGTCTCGCTCGCCTCTCTCGCTTTTATACAAACACAAATGTATAAAATGTGTTTGTGTTTGTATAAAGTGAGAGGAAATTGTATATATACATATATTTTCTCTCCCCTCTCCCAGATCTCGCTCGCCACTCTCCCAAATCTCGCTCGCCACCCTCGCCTCTCTTGCTTATACAAACAGAAACGAAACATATAAATTGCACTTCTGTTTGTATAAAGCAAGAGAAAATTGTACATACACATGCAAATACATATATATTCGTCCTATACACTTATAATTATACAATACAAATATTTCTCTGCCCAGTTTTCGTTTGCCTTTCTCTCTTTCTCGTTTTATACATACACAGATTATACAATTGATCTTTTGTATATAATTGCTTTCTTTTGTATATGTATAGCGAATTATACAACTGCCTTCTTTGTATATGTATAGCAAATTATACAACTGTTTTTTTTGTATATGTATAGTGAATTATACATATATATGTTTGCTATAGAGCGCAATTATGCAAACTTTGCTATAGCATACAAATATGAATTTTGTGTTTGCTATATGTGAAAGTTGCTCTTTTTTTTTTTTTTTACTTTATCACAAAAAAATAAAATAACTTATACTTAATATTTTACTATCCTAATTTACATCACACACACTTTTTTTTAATTTATCCAAAATAATGACACATTACTATAATCGAAAATAATTTTGTTTTGAGATTTGTTTTGAACCATAAATTTCAGCCACCTCGTTCATCCTTTTTATATAAAAAAAATTGTATCACTTAAATAGTATCACATAAATTGAAATCGGAAAAAGTAACAATTTAATTTTAAATTCTCATTTAATCCTTTTCTAGACATAATAATTTCTACGACTTGTGTGAATTATGAAACATACAAATGTAAAGTAGTACTTTTTTTTTTCTTCAAAGTTGTGGTCAATCAAACATGTAAATTAAAACGAAGAAAATAATATTTTGGAGCAGATATTTTTTCCTCATTACAACGGTAACCTTTATCTAAAGTAGTGCACAACTGCACACAAAGTCTATATAAACTTTGTTGTCTCCCTTTTAACCTTTCTATTCTTTCCACTTTTTGTTTTTCTAGACTTCTCGTGAAGAACTATTTCCTTTTTCTTTTTTTTTCTATTTCTCGTGACTCTTTTTTAGTGTATACTTTTATCACCACACAAAAAAAGAGTCATATTGAACCCCATTTTGAAACAAAGAGAAGAAAAACATTGTCCATGGCTCAGCAAAGACATGTTGTAGTGTTACTTGTGTTGGCTTGTTTGTTTACATCTTCATATTCTTCTCAATATACTGTTGGTGGCAAAGATGGTTGGGTCCTTAACCCTTCTGTTGATTACAACACTTGGTCTCAACATATGAGATTCATAATCAATGACTCTGTTTGTAAGTCTTCTCCTTCCTCTCAAAAGTCAAAATACTGTTATTTTTTAAGAGTCCGAGCAATAATATTTGATGATATTTGTTATTTTTTGTGTTTATAGTGTTTAAGTATAAGCAAGGAGCAGATTCTGTGTTGGAGGTGAGTAAGGATGATTATGATAAGTGTAACACTGGCAATCCAATTAAGAAAATGGAGGATGGAAACTCCATTTTCACGTTGGATCGTTCTGGTCCTTTTTACTTTATCAGTGGCAACAAAGATAACTGTGATAAAGGCCAAAAGTTGCAAATTATTGTTATCTCTGTTAGGAACCAAGGTAAACCACCACAAACTCCGGCACCGGGAGTTGCTCCACCTAGTAATGGATCAACTACACCGTCACCTACGGGTTCACCACCATCTACTGGAGGTACGCGGAATCAGAATTTTAATTTTATCCGTTCAATTTTTTAGATTCTTAGTATGTTACATGAGTCGATTGAACTTACGAGATTAATGCAGGCTCCTCTCCGGCAGCTTCTCCGCCTAAAGGATCGTCTACACCTGGTACACCGTCACCCACGGGTTCACCACCATCTACTGGAGGTACGCCGGATCAGAATTTTAATTTTATTCGTTCAATTTTTCAGATTCTTAGTATGTTACATGAGTCGATTGAACTTACGAGATTAATGCAGGCTCCTCTCCGGCAGCTTCTCCGCCTAAAGGATCGTCTACACCTGGTACACCGTCACCCACGGGTTCACCACCATCTACTGGAGGTACGCCGGATCAGAATTTTAATTTTATTCGTTCAATTTTTCAGATTCTTAGTATGTTACATGAGTCGATTGAACTTACGAGATTAATGCAGGCTCCTCTCCGGCAGCTTCTCCGCCTAAAGGATCGTCTACACCTGGTACACCGTCACCCACGGGTTCACCACCATCTACTGGAGGTACGCCGGATCAGAATTTTAATTTTATTCGTTCAATTTTTCAGATTCTTAGTATGTTACATGAGTCGATTGAACTTACGAGATTAATGCAGGCTCCTCTCCGGCAGCTTCTCCGCCTAAAGGATCGTCTACACCTGGTACACCGTCGGCACCTTCAGCTAATGCTCCGGCAGGATCATCTACACCGGGTGCGTCGTCACCTAATGGGGCACCAGTATCTACTCCTGCAGGTAAATTATAAATGAATTTGGAATTTCAATTTGACAGATTCCATGTTTTGATTTCGTTCGATTTTTAACGTATTGCACTTTTGAAATAGTGAATTGAATCATATAGTTTATCTGTTTGTTCAGGTAAATCACCAACCTCATCACCAACACCTTCCGGTTCAACCGCATCTCCACCAGCTCCTGCGACCGGAGGATCCGTAGCTCCGGCAATGTCTCCGGTAGCTAATGGACCGTCAACTAGTACTCCAGGTTCTTCTTCACCGGTGGCAGGCGGACCATCGTCTGGAAGCAGTATGGCACCGTTGGCAGACGGACCAGCTGGAAGTATGTCACCGGAACCATCGGCAGGAGGACCATTAGCAGGCGGACCATCGGCGGGAGCGCCGGGAAGTAGTGCTTCAGGTACCGGCGGCAGCAATACTCCGGCTGACATCAATTCGCCAGCTGGAGCACCAGAAAACCCAAATTCATTTGCAGTAAAGGCATTTACTCCATCAATTGTCCTTGTGTCAGCCGTTTCACTCGTTTTGACTGTGGCTTTGGGAGAATTTATTATTTTACCTTAGGGTAAAATTACTGGATATTACTATATTTAATTTGTGCTTTTTTTTCTTCTGTATTTTGTTTTAAATTTCTTGAATAATTCGGAGATTATTGGAGTGTGTTTAGATATACAAGAGATGTATTTAATTTTAATTTTTATCTTTTTGCTTTTAATTTTTGTGGGTGAGACTTAAAATTTGAATTTATGTATGCATGTATGTATCAGTTTTCTAGTTTTTGTTTTGTGATGTTTTTTTTTTTCAGAGAACATTTACAGAGAATTTTTTTTTATGTTGCTCAAAACATGCACAAATGTAACTTATCATCCTTCTTAAAAAAAAAGTCTATTTAAGTCTTGACTATAGAACTACGAAGCTATCAAGTGTTTCCTCCTTCAAAAAACTCGAATTGTCTATCAACGACTCAAAGTCTCTTGTGAAATTCTTAAGCGAGACAACTCCTTCGTTTTTATGGCCAAAATCAAAATCTCGATTCACATCGTCATAATCTCCCTGGAACATCTATTAAAATCTCTTCTAAATATCTATTGTTTCAAAATTGAAGGAAAAGAAATAATTTTTAAAACAATATCAAAGAATATAAATGATTTTCATATAAAAAATTAAAAATACGATAGATTATCTAAGATGTGCGTAAAAAATATTGCTTGGTCGACAAACGATCGTAGTACAACTACTTCCCGATGGGAGTTGTGGAAATTCGTATAAAGTCAAAGTCATGCAATACGCTCCAAATATAAATTCATTAACGTACGTAATTTTTGGTGTAATAATAATAAGATGACTTGACTTGACTTGAAGTGGTTATTTCCATTATTACTCTTATTTAGAAGTGAGAGTTGGAAAGGACCAACATTGCATTAAAGTACTTGTACAATGTTGGTCCTTCCATTGCATTAAAGTACTTGTACATATATAAGTGGGCCCCACCTCCTTCCACTTAAATAATATTCTTCAACCTTATCATGGTAAAAGTTGAATTCATTATCCTTTTCATTTAATTTTATATGCTATTATTTTTTTCTATAAAATCATTATATATGTTTTAATAATTTA